AGACATCTTGATTAAGGCATACAGGAGAAGTTCCTCTGGCTGAAGCAACATTTTTTCACAGTAAGACACCGGTGATGAAGGAATTTTAACCGTGTTATTTCCAAACTCTGGCACAGGTTGCAGTTTATCGTTTTCCGTGCATTGTTCACTCGATGATGAAGTGTTTTGACAAGTTGAAACATGATCCTTTGAACATTTAGCTCGTTTATGAGTAAAAGAATGAGGGTCCAGAGCCTGACCAGCCGGTCTTTTAAAATTTATATCACACATTTTTGGATCAAATAAATTGATTTTGAAGTTTTTGTTTTAAAATTAAAGATTTTCCAAATTTTCTGTTAAAACTGCTGACGAGTCGCTTACGACATTTAGCAAATGTATGATCAGCTTTTGCTCATCAATGTTAGATAGAAGAAACATCAACCTTCGATCGAGTACCCCAGATTACAAGTTGGATAGAGGCCAAGAATCAATCTCAAACTATTTTATTTCAACGAATATCGAACATAATACTTCTCGCCTAGCATCCGAAGAAGAACTACGGTGTTGGCAGAATTTTAACCTATAAAGCGCCCAGCATATTCTCAAATAACTAGGTTCGTGCTGTACAGAACTATGTGATAAATATGCTCTGATAACATATCAATCATGCTTCAATACTTATGAAACTTTAGCAATACATCGACAGAACTAATGCGAATAACAGCTGGTACCGGTCAAAATACTTCGTATTGTTTACAACCAGGGGCGTAGGAAGCGGGGGGGGCACGGGGGGCACGTGCCCCCCCAAATTTTTTTAAAGGACTAAAAGTGCCCTTTTTTGTGATAAAAAGTGCCCTTTTTGTGTTGAAAAGTGCCCTTTTTTGTGAGGAAAAGTGCCCCTTTTGTAGAAGCTAATGTCGCTGTAAATACTAAATTAAAACAATAGGTGCCGTTTTTGTGTGGAAATTTACAAATTTTTTTTAAAAATTAGGTCACAAACATAAATTTCGGTATGATACGACGGAAAATTTTCCTCAGGAGAAATTTCTCATTTCCGGGAAAAATTTTTTAGGTGCCCTTTCCGATAGTAATGTGCCCCTACAAGCCGGTGCCCCCGCAAACTCCAGGTGCTTCCTACGCCCCTGGATAAGACGTATGGACGAACAAAAATATAAAATAAAGTAGGGTCATGACCTTCTTAAAGAGATACAAGGGTTAAACATGCAACATGCTGTAGTTTAGTGTTAGTTACACAGAAGCGTGTTAGTTACACACATGGAGCATGTTTGGGAGGGGAGCGGAAGTAGAGAACTGGCTTGCGAGGTTGGCAAGAGTTCTGTCCGCATTATTGACGATATCGATATATTTCCTGAAGCATGCCTGATCAATGCAGCGTGTTTTTCTCTTTGTCCTTACTCTTTTTTATCAGTTATATTGTAGTTCGACTACATATATTAGCTATATATATATATATATATATATATATATATATATATATATATATATATATATATATATATATATATATATATATATATATATATATATATATATATATATATATATATATATATAGGTAGGCAATTTGTCGACGCTGACCAAAAATGGCGGCTCATTTCTTCTTTGAGTTTCCATTTTCGCGTCGAAGAGCAAAAATATAGACTTTCGGAGAATATTTTAGCTGTTTACTATCAAATATGTTTGTGAAACAGTTGATAATCTTACTGAGGAAGGCCAACGGTTTCTGAAAAGCTAAAGTACGTCGAAATCAGCTTTGGAATAGACTATATTTTCACCGGGGAAACATGAACTAAATGGATATTTACATCAACACTAAATTTCGCTCGTGCCTACAGAGCTAGTTGGATTAAAACAGATGTTAAGAAGTAAGTGAAAATGTTAATTTTGTGAATTATATTTTAATTAAAATGTTTCAGATGGTCTGCTAATGCCAAACTATAAGCGTGACAGAGCTGTCAGTAAACCCATATTTCAATGTTTATGTTGTATTGACCCAACTTCTTTGAGGTATAGCTTAAAAATTAGGGTATGCTCATCACTTGAAACTAGCTTTAAATCAAAGTTTTATCTATTGTTCTTTTATTAGAATTAAAATCATTCATGGGAAAAATGTGCCAAAGGGTTGAAATTGCCCTTGTAATGTCTCAATCAATTCCATGGGTGACCAACACCCCCCCCCCCCGGGCGTTTGTCGGGCATTCTCAACTGTACTTGTTCGCAGGGTCGGGCATTTGCTTTCTGCAGGTTAGCCCCGGGGTGGGGAATTTGCTCGAGGCTAAAAAGTCGAATATTTATCGCTTGTTTCGCCATTTAGCCGTACTTTAGTACGCACGTTTACACCAGCGTGCGTATCGCAAATTAATCATGGCGGAATAACACAAGACTTTTTTCTTGTCCATCCTGTTGATACATTGACTTACTTCTGCAGTTTGATATTGCTATATAAAGTTTTGAGACTTCAATATTTTAATTAAAAACGTTTTAAAACGAAATGCCTATAGAATCGATTTTAAATACAGATAAATTGATACGTGATAGAGCTTGGATTCGATTTTTTGGATCAGAAATCCTCAGAAAACTTATATTTTGTCCCCCAAGGGTGGGGCATTTGCGTCAATATAAGTCCCCAAGGGTGGGGATTTTGTTGCATTATTTGGACCCCATACTGGGGCATTTGCAACGTTTTTTCGCCAAAATGACAAAAGCCCGACAAACGCCCGGGGGGGTGTTGGGCACCCATGGAATTGATTGAGACATAAATGTACACTATTTTTGACATGTTTGGGTTGGTATTTTGAAAAGGTGTTTTGGAAGGAAAATATGTCTTGAACAATACTGGTTGACCCTTAAATTATAACTAGTGTCATGTAAATTACAGAAAATTGAAAAAATCTGGTCCATACACAATATTTTGAATTTTACAAGGTCCCGAATGGGGCTTATTTCAATGTTGAATCTGTTTACCTGGAAAAACTTAGAAAATTGAGTAAGTCAAGAATTTGACTATGCTCATCATCCAAAACCAGGTTTTTCTAATTGCTTTTTCACCTGGGTTTGTGGCAATACCAGTTAGGCGACCATGAAAAATGCGCGCGGCACTTTTTTTGGACACTGAAGATGGTGACATTTGATGTTTTCATATATTGCCATCCTCTTATCATAGTATAACTTAACTTATTTTAGTGAGTTTGTTAAAGTGCTGTGCTCACTATATGCCTGTAGTATCTAAGATTTTTTCATGGCTTTATATGATAAATTTAAGTTCTGTTTTCTTTATTTTTAGGTGATAGTATCTGTTCACATGAGAGTTGGTATCAAATTTTGCACAAGATTCAATTATTAATTCACATTCCTTTACTCAAATATCCAAATAAATGGAATATGACATCAATCTGGAGGACTAGATCCTGTTTCCAAACTTGTTTTTGTAAAAATAGAAAATAACAAGTTATTCTGTGTTGTTCTAATAAAAACTATTGTTTTTGATATGCATATTTAATTTTTAAAATTACATTTCATTCTTTGTTAAAATGTGTACCAGGAATACTGAAATCTTTCAGATCAACTAACAATACTTTTATAACTTATATAGCCAAGTGTTCTATCTATTTCTGTTCAGACTAAACAAATGATGGGTAAAATATTAGACTAGATTTTTTCAAAAATATGAACTTGCCTGTTTTGAAAGCATAAAAATCAATAAAATAAAGCAAAAGTACTTATTTTTAATTTAAAATCTTTGGACTGTACAGCTTAATGTTTTCCACTAATTATTACAAAGTTTTCGTTCATTAAAATGCTGTTTTATCAGCTTTAAAACCAGATAAATCGACGAAGCACTCCTAAATATATGTCGCCATATTGACTTTCTTCGCGCATGCTCAGACAAATTGCCTACCTGTTGCCGCCCTATATATAAGCGCCCTGGTGTAAACGTAGCTTAAGCAAGCGACGTTTCAATCTCGTTCCCCGAGCATGCCCGTTCGCAGGTTAAGGGTGGGCATAGCTCTGGAGAAATCGAATTGATTCAGGCCTGTGATTGGCTAACGGCAGATAGTACGTTGGATTTCCAACGTGAGTTCTATATAAACAAAGTATTTGGAATTTCTCGTCGAAAATTTGATACTTTTTACACCAAAATCGATTGAGAACAACTAGAAATTCTGGAGGAAATATGTACGAAAGCTGCGGATTGATAGGAATACAACTACCTGAAAAATACAAGGAGAACTTCGACGTTTCGAGCGAAGGCGCTTCGACTTGTGCTAATAGTGTTTGTATACATCGTACTTCACTTGACCTTTTATATACTGTCATACCTAACACTATGTATACCATAAATTCTGACAGAAGAGTTAAATGTAAATTTTAAAGCATAAAAATATATAATACTTATTATTGAGGAGATTATATTCATCAGCAAAGGTCAAGTACGAAGTATACAAACACTTTAATAAACAGCACAGGTCGAAGCGCCTTCGCTCGAAACGTCGAAGTTCTCCTTGTATTTTTCAAGTAGCTGTATCCCTATCCAACCGAAGCTTTCGTACATACTTCCCCCAGAATTTTTAGTTGTTTTCAATTCAATTTCAGTGCAAAATGTATCAAATTTTCCACGCGAAATTCTAAATACTTTATTTATATTTTGCAACATTTCCGAGCATGCGTAGAACTCACGTTGGAAATTCAACGTGATCAATTCGATTTCTCCAGAGCTATGCCCACCCTTAACCCGCGAACAGGCATACTCTGGGAACGAGATTGGCGACGTTTTTGATTCACGGACGTCGACCGGAAATGAATCTGCCGTTTTTGATGGCGTGAGCAGTCCGTGGTGCGAGGTGACAGACGGCAAGTGAACAAGTTTGAAGGCGGTGATTTTGTGTCAAAAACCGTAAAGGTAAACATTGTTTTTTATTGCTAATTTTTATCTAAAAATCAGATAAACATTATATTTGTTCTAAAAACAAAATAATTTGCCACAATTTAGCTGAATAATAATGACATCCGAGGGAAAAAACCCAGAAACGGAAGTTGAAGTTCAAGGGCAAATGTAAGTGCAAGGTCAAATTATGCTTTGGCTTGTTTGGCGGAATTTGGCGGAATTTGGCGGTATAAACTGCTTGCGTTTTGTAATCGTTTAGCGCTACTTTACTCTAGTTTTCTGATGTGTAAATCATTCATCGTGATTATATAAGTGTGACCTAAATTCTACAGGAAAAGGCAGTAAATGTGCTTATTTTCTTTTGGGCATCAGTCTTTGTTTTCATTGAATTTCGTAAAAACAACAACTGAGATAGGAAGCCGAAAGGTGAGTATAAAGTTGATTATTAAATTGTGTGTATTTACTTTGCTGTTTTGGTCGTTTTGCTTTAGCAACTCTGCTATGGAATGGAACAAAAGACATGATACCATGCTGTTCAGAGAGGTTTTGGTAGTTAATCCCTATCAAGCCAAAAAGAAAACTGTCCAGCGAGGGCAACTTTGGCAAACCGTGGCTGGCAACCTGGTGCGACTGGAAGACCCTGTGTTCAAGAAACGTTTGTCGAAGCGTTCAGTTCAAGATCGTTGCACGCTCTTTTGCGAAAAGCACAAGAAGAGAATGAAATATGACACGAAGGCGTCGGGGGATATCGCCAAAAGTGACGGAATTGGAAAGTTTGATAGAGGAAACGTTGGAAAAAGTGGAGGCGAGTGAAGAGTTGAGGGCAACACAAGATATACATATCTATAAATACTATGGCAAAATTTCATTGATTTGCTTTAAAAACTTCGTAATTATAATGGAAAATTTAAAGCCCAGATATATAGATGTCGGTAACCTAGACATACTGAAGTTGAGGGCGGGGAGCAAAGGCATAAACCACTGTTTTTTTTATTTGAAGCACAGAAAAAGAAAGTTGAGCAAGATCAGAGAAATGCTGTGGATATTCGGAAGAAGGTAATGGAAAGGTTTGGAGAGACAAAGAAAAGAAAGATTGATGAGGGAGAAATTGAAGAGAAGAAGAGAAAGCGAAGAAGGTCAGGATCTGATACGTTGCAGTTTATAATGGAACAGTCAGAAAATGAAATGAACATGAGGGGGAGGGAACTGGCATTAGAAAAGGAGAAACAGACAAGGGAGGAGCAGAGACACAATGATTTCAAAGAGATTATGGCACAGCAGATGGCTCAACAGCAACAGCAAATGGCCCAGTTCCAGATAATGTTCATGCAAAAAAACAATTTAATGCTGTCAATGCTCGAGAAAAAGTCATAACATTTTAATTTTCACATTTCAATACGTAAGAGTTAATTACCGAGAACGAGGTTTCTTAGCGAGATACAACCCGAGGGGCGTGTCCCGAAGAAAGCATCCCGAGGGCCGTAGGCCCGAGGG